AGGGTTGCCCCAAGCGCTGTGAAGAGGAGGCTTCAGAAATCCAGCTCGTCTCCAAATGTGCATCATCTTCGCCAACGACCACTGCGATGATCCGTGCACTTCTCCCACTGCGTGCTTGCTGTGGTCTGTTGTGTTGAATTCCAGCGCAATCAATACACAGTTTCCAGGTGCGTAGCCCGAAGAATTATTCAGCCGCTCAAGGGACATGACCCAATCCGTGTGGCCACGCTTGTACTGCAGAGGCACTCCAGAATAAAAGCAACGGCCTCCTTGTCCCAGCAGCAGGTCCAAGACATGTTCATAGTCAATGTCACATTGGTGGCCCCGTCGTCTTGAATTCTTGCGCGCGCTATTGACAAGAATTTTTGACCTCGCTCGCAATCCTTGCATTTGCGCACCGACAGCCCGACACGTTTGCAGGGCTAGCGCTCGTGCGTTGCGACATCTTGCCAAGCGAACATCCTCCTCAAGCTGGTGCATGTCAACCTCGAGGTCGAGAGCAAGGTCCACCATCCGAATTTTGCGCACATGCCATTGAGCGGTTCCATCAACACCTTCTTGATTCACACCTGGGTGTTGACTGGAATCGCCTGAGTTGAACTCAGCAGCCACCAACACACAGTTCTCGATGTTGTATCCCGAGCGATTGTCTAATCGTTCCAGAGACATTCGCCAGTTAGAGTTGGGATGAACAATTTCCATGGGAATCCCGGAATAAGCGCAACGACCCTTCTGGTACAGCAGCATATCCAGAATGTCTTCCTTCTTCAAGTTGCAGGGCAACCCTTTCAATCTTGACCTACTGTTGGCCGCGCTCGCCAGAACAGAAGAACTGCCTCGTAAAGTCCTTTGATATCTCCGGGCCCTTGCTGCGCCACATAATCTGCAAGCCGTTGCGCTGGAAAACATGTCTGGTGATAGGTACTGTCCGCAAAGGCGGCAAGGCATATCCCCTGCTTCGTTCGGTCGTCTTGTCGGACCTCTAGGAACGTTGGGCGGCACCTGCCTTGCTTTGGCTACCAGGTGTTCCAGTTGCTCTACGTAATGCCCTGGAGGTGCAGTTTCTGCCAGCAACGCTTTGTCTGGCCATTCACGGCGAAGCAACAGCGGTGCCAAATGCGCTGTAAAATGCCGTGCCTGAAGCACCTTCCGCAAGGCGCGGCTCTGAAGAAATGTTGGGCCCATCGGGCATCTCAATGCGTAGAGGTCCAATGATGGACACGTGTGGCGTACAGAGCTTCTTGAGCCTTCTGTCACAAGAGCTTGACGAATTATCTTATTGCACATCAGAACTCTTGCGTCGAGAGCCGAGGACTAACTTGTATCTGGCACACTACGCGCACACATACTTGATTGAGGCCAGGCTGCTCATTGACTTGCGGTCCCGGCTGAACTCCAGCACTGCCTGATTGCGAGCTCTGCGCATAGGAGCTGATTTGAAGTTTTGTTCAACAGCACATACGACACTGCTCAAGAGGTGTTGCCAGATAGTTGGTGAAAACATTTGGCGGAACGGGGGTGGCTACATGATGTTTTACAACGTGTTCTTCAAAGTTGCTGTACTTCAGCAATCTGATGTTCTGATCACCGGTGCCCCAGAGGGCTCTCTAGAATTCTTACAAGACACGGGCGGGCCGAATTAACCGTCACCGATACTTGTATCAGTCGGAAACCTTAGCGTGGCCTGTTACACCTCAAATTGCTTGGGAGCAGCATGGCCAGGAGTATGTCGAGATATGAACCTCGTCCTTTGCATATTTTCTTCATTGTCTTACCGTGCACCTGATAATTACATAGGACAGCCAATGCCAGTGTTTGTGTGTAAGGCTTTTACATCGTCAAGAACCCTGCTGAATTCACACGAAAAGCCTTGAAACCCTTTGCCAAGCAATTCTGAATCTTAATTCTCTCAGAGCCTTCTTCTCCATGCCCTTCTCCCAATATTGCGAGAAAGCCATGGCGTCATCCTTTGACCTGATGGCAAGGAAGGCTGTTGCCAAATGTGACGGCCCCATGCGGCGCATGTGACTGACAGATGGGTCCAGGGCTGCTCAGGACAATAGGCGCTGGGACTGAAGGCAATCAAAATTCTTGCAGGGTTCCAGTTGGCGACTGAGTCTTTGCATGAGCCTGTAAGGGCAACAATGGCTGGCCCTCGCTTGAAAAGTGTGACGGCAAACCCGCCCCAGCAGCACCCACGAAGGCCTCTTTTCCTTCTGGAGGCATCTCTGGTTGAGCGCCTGACATAAAAGAGCGCGGAACAGCACCCTCAGGGGTTCAAGTAACGATTTGCAAGCCTTTCAATCAGCAGACGGCTTCGAGCTATGTGCCGCTCGGATCCCGATGCCATGTCATTCGGACTGGGTCTCAGCACAAGGAGGACCCCCGCGTGCGCTGAGTCTAGGATCCTCACGCGTCCCTGCCTATAGAAAGCTCTTCTTCCATGTAATGGATTTACGCTTGGTGCCTATCTACCAGTAACTGGCAGAGGCCCTCTGTCCGCCTGGTCGGGGCAGCCCAGCTTCTCGACAAGCACGCGAATGGCTGCTTCTGTGGGCTCACCGTTTCGGATGAACTTCTCCTGAAGCCAGAAGGGGTTAAGACTTTCCTTTCTGGTTCCGGCATGTTTTCTGTCGAGGATCTTGCGCATGCCGAAGGCCCCTAAGGTCAATCCAAGGTCTGGGCAACTTCAGACATCCTAGCTGCGGGGTCGGTCGGCAGTGTAGAGATTGTAACAAACGTTCAGGGAATCTCTTGGATCCCAATGACGCAGTGCCAGCAACTGAAGTTCAGGTTTCTGGGTCTAGCTAGCTCCAAATGGCAAGGCTTCGTAAAACCTCCGGGGTGCCCAGTCTCTCCCCCCCCGCCCCTGGCCTCATCATCCACCATCAGCCTGGACTCGTTGCACATGCAACCGATCCTGAGGAGGACGTCATGGGGCGCTACAGGGAAAGAGTGGAGGTTGCGGCCACGCCAAGGCATGCGTGAAATTTTGGACGTCTATGGCTCAAAGGTAAACGTCACGCATTCGCACATGTTACTAGGAAATTCAGGCCGAGGACTGACGGGCAGTGCTCGGGTTGCATTGGCTTCCAACTCAGAAGTACTGCCCGCGGGCACCTGCTTGTATCACCGGCCCTGAGGTAGGAACAGCAACACAGCGCGCTTGTCACAAAAACCATCTGGTCTGGACTGCTCAAGCAGGTTCCCGAAGGCTACCCTGGAGGCAAGGCAAAATGGAAACCTTGCTGTCAATTCCTGAAAAACAGAATCTTGCGTGCATCACTGCTGCAGAATTGATCCCGGCACAGAAGGATTCCGAAGCATTCATGGAGCTGAGGTCCCGACTTGGCCAAAATCTTGACGGCCTCACTCTTGCCCCAGTCAATGTCTAGACCGGCCACGCGGCCCACAGGCATGTAGTTGTGACCTTGGTTTGTGGTGGCAGCGCCGCTTTCAAGTCGAAGGCGTGACTCGAAAAATGCGGTCCGGACTGCTACGATCTGGAGCATGATCCCCTTTTGAATCATGCCATCGACGGGTTCAGTGGGACAGGGCTTGCGGCCTACTGCTGTGTCTAATTGAAACCAAAAACTCTGAGAAACTGAATTACTGTACAGCCAGTGACGCTTAGCCGTGGCTGTTTGGACTATACCCCTCCTGTTAAGCTGAGCTCCAGGCCTTCGACGGTGTAGTCCTGCCAGACTAGTGCACGCCCAAAACTCTTGCGAACATGCCCTTCGTATTCCAGCCTGAGGACCAAGTTCCTTTCCCCAGGACGCAAGCAGAAACATCATCTAAGTCAGGCAGCTTCCTCACAACACCAGAACATTGAGCCCGAAGGTATCTCTACCCAGAACCCAGAAAGCGCATCCCAAGCCTTCAGCTTCTCGCCCTCAGGGAGCGCAAGCTTGACCACGCACATCTCCTCAGCTCTTGCAAGCTCGCTTAACGTGCGGATGTGAAGTCTGACGTCCCTGGCTGAAAAAGCTCCCTGCCGTTTCTTTCAAAGGGTCCATGCGGGTTGCAATTCCACATGCCCGTTTTGCCACAAGCCAAAGCAAATGCGAACCAAGCTTCGTTGGTTGTCAAAGTTCCAGTCTTGTCGGAGCAGATGACGGTGGTGCAGCCTAGGCATTCGGGGAGTCTCTCTCTCTCTCTCTCTCTCCAAAAAACAGATCAACAACAAGCAAGCATCTTGCCAGCCCTCATCCAGGCCAGGTCCCTGGCCCAACGTCTCGACGGAGGGCAGCTTGCGGACGATGGCATTACGCTTGGCCATCTGCCTGGGAAGGCAGAACACATGTGCTTCCGCGAGATGTTTGTGTCTTCAGCGGAAAGTCTGTTGTTCATCTTTGAGGGATTTGAATGCAAGGGTTTGTGACTGAGGTTTTCTAGCCGGTTTTTAAGCTCAACTCAAGCTAACATCCATGGTACAGGGTAAACTCTGCGCAACAGACTGTTCATGACAAGCTCACACGGGAAACCAAGCACCTGCTGGTCAGCAGCACAAGACGTAATGAGACTGGAATATACCGGAGTCAGGTGAGTATCGATCGTTCCTCGCATTCAACCAGCACTAAGCGGCACTTAGTGAGATGATCATGAATCCTCGCTTCTTCTGGTTCCAAGACCTACCCAATTATCTGCCCTGAAGCTCAAATCTCTTTGAACACCAAGGCACCGAGTGCCCAATGCCAGGCACGTGGTGATCACCGCTGGAAGTCCTGCCAGAATGAGGGCTCACAGTGTGCCGTGCTCAGTGATAGAGTGCAGAGGGCCGGAACTTGCTGGCATGCCTTACAACCCAGCCTGCCTTCCGCCACAAGTCTTATGCTGCAGAAGCAATAGCAACATCTAACCATCTCTCCTTCTGGGATGGCTGCCACTGCCAGCGCGACAGCGATCTTGAAGTAGTAGATGCACCTCAGGCGATGAATCCGTGGGGATCCCCTTTACCAGCAGCTGATGAGAAGACGAAGGCAGTGAGCATGGGGGTGTCAGGCATTCTGAGCATCAGACCCCTTGACCACAGATCCGTGGACGGGGTCGAAGAAATGCCTAGGCACAGACAGGCTGGGAAGAGTAATGTAGACGCATGATGAATAAACCCCCTCCTTTCAAGGGCCAAAATATTAGGATCCCTATTATAATCCCTATCAAGGGGAGGGGTTCATTAATCATGGGTCTATCTACATTCTGGAGACTTTTATTTCGCAGCACCCAGCAGAAGGAAAATCCTCCTAGGAGAGGGGCAGCCGCTGGGCTACTGCATTGCTAGTAGTCTTCTCTTCCGCTTGAAAACTCGGAGGGCGTGCAAAGGCTTAGATTAATCATTAATCTGATTTGGACAAGCTGCTTGTAGTTGATCACCCACACTAACAGGCAAATGATGCCAATCATCTTGGCGAGCAGGTTTCCGAACTCCTTGGCAAGTGGCAGGCTTGAAGCTCGTGCAAACTCAAAGCATTTTCAAATCCCCAAACGCCGCGACTTGCAGCCGGGCCTTCTTATTCCAAAACAACATCGGATCCGCATTTCATTTCAGCATATCCAAATGACATCTGCGGGACCCATTCCAAGACCCCTACCTACACCGCATGCTGTCCAACAGTGGAGCCCTGAAGTGTCCATTGGGTCTTCACAGTGATGCAGCCTCGTGCACAGGAGTTTTCTGTCTAGGTCTACTATAACTATAACACTACAGTGCAGGACCTACCCAGCAACGACGGCATTCCGGTCAGCCGTACGCATGTAAGCCCACAACTCAACCCATACCCTTCCGCGCGGGCATCCAACTAAGTCCTTACTTTTGGCACATGGAGTCTTTTGGGCTGTTCCGCCATTCAGGATGCCCCCATGTACTAGTACCAACAGATCCTAGCAGTCATGATTATGAGAACCTGTTGGAAGGACACGTCATATTGAGCAACACCCTTTCAGCTGAGCTTCGTCGAGTTTTTCCTGCAGGGGCGTCTGCTCTTCCTCCTCACCGGCTTTGGTCACCGCTGCCTGTGGCAGTGCTCAGGGAACCCAAGAACCCTTGGTTCAGCTGGCATGAACCCTGGTATGGTGTTAGGTGTGTCCTCACTTTGAGGGGGCGGGCTCGTGTGGACAACTCGTCGATGCTCAGGAACTGTTGTGGCACCAGACTCAGGACAACCTTGGCCCTTGCCCGCTCTTGCATCCTGAAGAAAGGAAGCTGACTAAAAATCTTCATGCAAAAATGCAGACGCGCAACTCCATCCATCAATCCCAAGATGCCTTTGTCTAAAAAGCCGCGCCCGCCATACTCACAAGTACACAAGTATAACCTAGAGCTCAATCTGACACATCATCCCAACCCTGCCTGGATGATGCCGATCTCTGTGCCCATGCCTGTTGCTACCACGACTGCCACGCAGGCTCCATTGGAGATGGTGGTCGAAGAAAAGAGTAGGTTGCTCTTCTCCTGCAACTTGAAACTTTCAGGAGTTGGTACAAAGTAAGCCAGCTATACTCGGTGGCCTGTAGAAAAGGTTGGTGTGGTGGCATGTGTAGTTTGGCTGTTTGGGTCGGTGTCGACATGGTTTTCCAAGGATCTATGCTCAAGGCCATCGGGCTGCTGAAACGGGCTCCTGCGAAGCTCGTCTGGTTCCCTTTCTGAGGTCGGATTACGTTCTCAAGAATGAACCTGGTTGCAGCAGCAGCCCCAAACTCCCAGCAGCACCTTGCGATATCCTGGATGACAAACTACAAGACTTACCAGCCACACAATTTTCTTCAAGATCCCTCTTGAGGCCCTCAGATCCGTATGAGCCGAACACCCTCTTCAGCCCACCACTCAAATGGAGCGGAGAGTCCTGGATGACACACTTTTCTTTCCCACTGGGAAGAGGATCGCTCTCCTGCCAGGAGGTTGGCAGTTCTCAAACTCATGGGTCTTCTCTTTTGGCCCTCAGCGTTCGCATCTCATTCACTCAGTGGTAAGAACACCATCCTAATGTTAGTAGATTTCCTGGTTGATCCTCATAGACTTTACCTAATTCATTGTGGAAGCCATTTGTTGGGGTGGCTTGCTTTGCTCACAGGCATGTTCCTTAGCACAGCCTGCTTCGGCTTCGGCTTTGAATCTGAGGCTTTCAGATCCCGGGGCCTTCTGGTTCATGAATTCTTCTGGGACACCAAGACTGAGCTTCTACTTTGGAAAGTCTACTCAAGTAGGCAGCTTAGATCTGAATTCTTAAGCCTTAAGCCTAACAATGAGGCTTTAAGCATCGGCGAAAATTGACCAAAGCTCTAGACAAGCCGAGAAGTGCGCTTGTAAGAAAAGAGAAGGACATCAACGATGGATTCAGGAATTGCTGCAAAAGGCCCTACATCGCAAGGCAACGCAAAGAATCCTCATCCAGAGAAATCTCCAATGCTTGTTGAGTGGAACGGAGGCCCAAATTTCTTTTACAGTACCATAAGCCACCCTGGGCTTCTGGCTTTGGGATCCCTGAGCGCCAAGGCTACACCCGAGGCCGCCTTGGATACGCTCTGCGACTCGCCTGTAAGCTGAGACTGCTCGATCTTGATCCTTGGCCCAAGTCTTGGGTTGGTGTCTGCAAAATCGGAATGTCTCTATGCATCAAGACCCACTAAACCCTTTCTTGATAAGATCTGCAATCCTAAACTCTCACCACACCATGCCAACAGCCTTTCAGACTGAACTGAGGCTGCATCGTGGTGGTTTTCAGCCGCATGACTCGGCAATCGGCTGGCACCTGCCCATCAAAGGTATGTCGCCGCCCAAAATTCTGACATTTGTTGGGCTTTGAAACCAGGCCATAAAATGCAAACCTTAAACCTGGTAAGGCTATTTAGGGGGCTTCACCTGCAAAATGTACCCTTGATGGGCGTAATGTGAGCTTCCTGCATCAGCCGAGTTCTCGAGGTTGTAGGAATGCAATTCCACCAGGTTTTGAAAATGTTCGAATTTCACCTGCTCAATTGGTAAGCAAACTGCCCCTTATGCTTCCTAGGTGGCAGTGCCTCAATGAAGGGCAGGCTCTGGCCAAGTCAACCCTTCCTCAAACACTCATGTTGTTTGCAAACAGTAAAATAGTCTATATTAGCATACTGTATTATCGTATATTATACTATTTTCTAGTATAATATACTATACTATAATACTATAATATCTCTCACTTGTTGAAGCAAATTCCTTCGTCAACTCCCTCTGGATTTTCTCTTGTACCCCCAGGCGCTAAGATCTTTAAGTACAGACTGCGAAATAGTAGAATCTCATCGCGGCCTTGTCGCCGACCTTGACTTCCAAAATGTCTCCGGGGACGACGTCTTCTGCATCGACGGTCGTCTGGGCGCAAAAATAATCCACACATGAACTTGTTTTGCTAATGTTGATGAGCTCGTTTTGATCTTCCAAGTACAGGCAGGAAGTCAGCCCATCTTCGACAAGCGCAATAATGTTAGGGAACGAAGGATGGTTTGGGCATTGGGCTGCCTATCTTGTACTATGAGAATGAAGACTTTTAAGAAAGCTGCACGTACCTTTGAGGACATACGATTCTCAAGAAAGTGCGAGCCCGGTGTCAGCACCCATTTGCTTTCGTGCAGCTTGATTTGGCGATGACAATCGTATCTCCTCAACAGCACTCTCCCCCGGGATTTAGAATCCGATGAGACCCTTTTATGCATACATAGTTATTAATCCTTACGAGCTCCTCAAACCCAGTGGTGTTACCTTTGCGGGGATGGTATTGAAATCCCTTCTTCTGCGTCGTTGTTTTAGATCCTTCGACTTACTGGTTCTTGGCAGGGAACGAAGGAATATGACTCCGATAGAATCCCAATCTTCTGCATCCAGTAACTCTAAGGGATTTGGAACCCCAGTAGAAATTACAATCTCAGCTAAATATTAGGATTCTAGGTAACAGAAATTAAACAATATGTTCAGGAACCTTGTAGGCAAGTTTACATGTAAGAAGCGAGCCGGAGCCTGCGTCGGGCGCGCGTGCTACGGCAATCCAACAACCTATGATGGAAAGTTCAATTTCTCAATACTGCCCTGGGGTTTTGCTCTGATATTGAAAAGATAACTTCCAAGCAAATAGAAGCCCCGTATAAGTCCAAGAACCATCCTCTTACTTATTTCATCTTACTTCATTCCCACCTTGCTCCAGAAAATCACGCAGTCCAAGCCGCCCAATTTCCATCTCGGAGAACAAAAGCGCATTCTGGTGCTAGCCTCAGCCCGGTTCCAGGTGAGCCACATGGGTATTTCTCGCAGTATGGGGTCCGACTACATACCCCGAAGCTTTCGAAGCCCTGTGAGAGGGACTCCCCAAAAGAGACTCAAAGTTCGGAAACACACATCGCGGCTTGACCTTTCAGTCATGGCGCCCCTCGGGCTAGCAGGCACTGTTGACAAACTGTTGATATGTCAGCTGAGGTGCTTCTTCAATGCGTCCAAGGCTTTTTCGGCTTTTGAGTCCTGCAGACGAAGGGCATGGGACCCTAAACCTTAAATAGCAGCGAGAGCTATGCCTACTGAATATTATACTTTGTATACGCGGACAGCAGCTACCACCTCTGCAGCAGTAATGATAAACTTAATATCCTTGCTGTTGCTAGTGCTGCAATATGCAACCGGAGCAAGAAGCGACTACCTCAGCCATCCTGACCGTGAGTTCCCGGTCCTGCCAAATGGCGATAATTGCGTTGAGAATGAGAATGGTGAGGATCACAAAAGGCTCCACATACGCCTGGCATGAAACCACGCCCCAGAACTCTTCTGCACTGGTCCTGCTAGCTTTTTGGGAAAACCGGGCTAATCTTGCAAGGGAGTACTTGACAACATTGGGAGCCACACAATTACAATTGACAATCCTTCTTGGATCTGGAGTGTAGGAAAGTATCACGGAAATCGAGCGGTGCCACACGGTCGTACCGGGGACCTTTTGGCCCTGTCACGAGAAGCTCAGCTTTGTGTAGTCCTCGCTTTGCGCGAGGGTGACTAAGTGGTCTTCGAGCGATGCTGTGACATGTGAGATGTCCGGGCTGCCAGAGGGTTGAATCCTAATTAAACCTGATCAGACCGGAACTTCAAAGGGCTGTGCACAAGTGTCGTCGCCTGATGACCTGCAAGTAGACGATACCCCCAAGTACTTCCCATAAGCTCTATAAATCTTAGGTCCAAGGCCCCTATCTAAGGAGCCCAGGATAGGCGGCCCATACTAAACGCCCATGGTTCCGACTTTTCACAAAACACCTTTCTTGGCAAATCGCTTCTATGTGTTGGGCATGGGCTAGCCTTGAGTCCCTCCTCTTGCGACTTCTCATCAAAGAAAGCCAGGAGGAAGGAAATCATGGCCTTGCCGCTGTGAGGTCTAAAGTTTAGGGCTTGCGGGGTCGAAGTTGCAAACGTCAGGGGCTTTAGGACCTTTACGCCCTAAGTATGCAGGGCGTCCGGAAGGCTCCCTTCAGGATCTTGGGGAATTCTGCAAACTGCCAGAATTTCTCTGACGTATCTACAGCATCCCTGTCAAACAAAAGAGAACATCAGGATTCTGTAGTGCTTAGATCGACAAATTCCCGAAGCAATGTGAGCCAAGTATCTGATGCTAGCAGGATTCGCACGAGCGTGTCCTGCAATCAAACATCAGGGTCGTGGGGCATGGCTTGTATGGGATTTCGTGGTAAAGGAGCCATGAAACAAAATAGGCACGGCAAGCGATGGTGCAGGTTTCTCCAGACGGGGGGCCCTAGGTACCGCCTCGGATATGCAGGGAATACTAAGGGTGCTGCCCTGTCGCGGGTGGTATTGAAAATCCCGGGTGTCCTCAAACTGCTCTATGATGAGTTCCAAGAGCGACTTCCTCAGACGGGTCGGGCTTTGCTCAGAAACCAAGCTGTACCCAGTAGCCAATGGGTTCTTATGACCAGCCAGACTGAATTAGAAGCATTTCTTAACCGGTCTCAGAACCCCACTCAAAATGATGAATTTGGTGGTCGTTAGGATTAGAATCAGAAAATAAAATCATGTTGGAGGCCCATAGAGATTTTGCGTTGCAGAGAGTTAAGGGTCAGGGGGAATCAGGCTGACTGACAGGTTTCGGACATGACAGAGGTTACTCCAGAGATTTCAGCGTTGCAGTATGTGATGCTCAGATGCAGATGGGGTCTCAAATTCAGAACGGATGATGTCCACTCTATGACCTCACCACAGGCATGTGATACACTACCTGCAACCAGAACCTCTCATCATGTTAGTCTGGGCATTGCATTAGTGGGGGCTTACCAATGCAGAGCTTGATATCCAGAATCAAGGCTGATAGTATCAGTTGTGGTGAATTACAATATCAAAAGGAGCTAGTAGGTGAGAACTACCTG